TCGGTACAAAACATAGAGACCAAAACCTGTTGAATTTATGATAACGTCTGTGTAGAATAAAAGACTCGGTACAAAACATAGAGACCAAAACTTGTTGAACTCGTGATAACGTCTGTGTAGAATAAAAGAATTGGTACAAAACGGGACCAAAACCTGTTGAATTTATGATAACGTCTGTGTAGAATAAAAGACTCGGTACTAAACATAGAGACCAAAACTTGTTGAATTTATGATAACGTCTGTGTAGAATAAAATATTCGGTACAAAACATAGAGACCAAAACTTGTTGAATTCGTGACAACGTCTGTGTAGAATAAAATGTTCGGTACAAAACGGGACCAAAACTTGTTGAATTTATGATAACGTTTGTGTAGAATAAAAGAATTGGTACGAAACACAGAGACCAAAACTTGTTGAATTTATGATAACGTCTGTGTAGAATAAAAGACTCGGTACAAAACATAGAGACCAAAACTTGTTGAATTTATGATAACGTCTGTGTAGAATAAAAGACTCGGTACAAAACATAGAGACCATTAGATGTGTGTATATATATAGTAGGAAATATTTATATAACAAACTTGACTGTCCGATCACTTCCAGTTTTGTTACACGAGATACACTAAGTCCGATAATAATGTCCTTCGACATATCACTAGCTGAGAGTTCGCTCTACAACCAAACGAAAATTGAGTATAACAAACAAGAACAAGTTCTTGATTTAATCCATTTTTATATGTGTACAAGAACTGATTCAATTGACTGTTGGGTAATATAGTGTGTGAATTCTGAAGCTCAGAGAATGTGAACTAGTTGTAATGTAAAAGATGTATTACATATTATGGGCGTTATGGTATTGTTCATAAATTAACCCCTGTATATATTGTGAAATACAACCATTGTCATAATGAAGGTGATTGTGAAACGATAAATTAGCATCATGAGACAAAATGGAAAATAATACTTTAATTATGTTCAATAACTGATAGCAACTATTTAAATTAGATGAAAGAACACATAAACAGATAGTAGCAATCTAAAATTAAATGAAATAACATCGCAAACAGATAGTAGCAATATAAAATTTAATTATAGAATATCATAAACAGACAGCAGCAATATAAAACTAAATTAAAGAACATCATAAACAGACAGCAATAATCTAGGATTAAATGACATAACATCATAAACAGACAGCAGCAATCTGAAATTAAATGAAATAACATTATAAACAGACAGCAATAATCTGAAATTGAATTATAAAAAATCATAAACAGACAGCAGCAATCTAAAATTAAATGAAATAACATCATAAACAGACAGCATCAATCTGAAATTAAATTAAATAACATCATAAACAAACAGCATCAATCTGAAATTAAATTAAATAACATCATAAACAGACAGCATCAATCTGAAATTAAATTAAATAACATCCTAAACAGACAGCAATAATCAGAAATTGAATTATAGAACATCATAAACAGACAGCAGCAATCTAAAACTAAATTAAAGAACATCATAAACAGATTATGTTATATAATACCGTATATTCATACGATTTTTTTAATTGCAAAAATGTTCCAAATATCATTTAGTTTCATAAATGTTCTTTACATTTCTAGATGTCGCTGCAGTTAAAATCAGGCGACTCTCAGTTCCACGTTGGGTGCAGAACGGGACAGTCCACCCTATCACCCTAGACTGTGAGTATTCATACAACCACAACGATCTCCACCTGGTGATCAAGTGGTATTATAACAACCAGGCGAAACCTGTTTACCAATGGATCCCACAACTTGGTACCCGCTACGTATCCGGTTTCCTCCAAGGTCGATTAGATGAGTCCTTTGTTGCTGATCCTGAAGACCCATATTCTCGGTACCGGGCACTCAGGATCATCAAACCCACCACTGACATGACTGGAACTTACACGTGTGTTGTAACCTCGTTGGCAGATCAAGACACTCGTGAACAAGTGATGGTTGTTTATGGTAAGTCAGCCATCTTGGAAATCAAGAAGTGAATATTTGTAACATATAAAAATTATCAATTTTGTTACTAGCTTTTACTTTATACGTAAATTACGACGTCTTTTATTCGAGTCCTCGTACATCCAGAATTTCGTTTGTCGAAGTTAACTAATATAATCATTTTTAATTGGATTACTTCCAAACTTTAAGACCTCAATCTGTTTTCACTTGTGTTGGTAATGCCGGTTGGTAAATCTTATTGTCCTTCAAAATGAAAGAATTGGTTCAAGGCTTAGTAAAAATATACTCTTAAGTTAATCCACCAAATTTCAAAACTCCCTCCGTGATTAGGATTATCTAGCTGTGTGATTTTCCTAAACGTAGGTGTTATCATGGTGTTAAATACGTTGCATGATGTACGAAGTTTAAATGATGGCTTGAACCAGATCATTAAACGGAAGTTTCCGCGATAAAGACTTGTATGATTACCATTAGAACTTTTAAAAACGACTAAATATCAGACGGCATCACAAAAGTATATAGTATTCTTAAAGTGGCTATTCCAGAAATAAATGTTTCTGATTGCCAACAGAGGGCACCACAAAAGAATATAATATTCATAAGGTGGCTGTTCCTGAAATACATGTTTCTGTCAACAGAGGGCACCACAAAAGTATACAGTACTCTTAAAGTGGCTGTTCCTGAAATATATGTTTTGATTGCCAACTGAAGGTGCCACAAAAGAAAGATTTGTAAATAAGATATCTCTTGTAAAAGAAAGCGTAATATATTATTTAAAATATGTAATTTGTTGGTATTAAGAAATAAGATAAAATAAAAGTTAGTTTTGGTCATTCGAAATCCATTAATTAAACCTGTAGAATATATCATTTCAAAGACTAAAAAAACAACAAAAAACATGATCTGAGATATATATGTATATAAAGAAATTGATAATGTAGCAGGGGTTACCAAGTATATCACGACAACAGCTTCGTTTAGACATTAAGACATTTATTGCTGGATGGGTACCAAACTACAGCTATTAGAGAATTTGTTTTTAGAATTAAAAACGAAAAGGAATAAGAAAAAAACAATGTTTCCATCAGGATCTCCACGAATGGAAAGAGACCTTCTGTGATGACAGCAGATATATTCAAAGTTTTTATAAAAAAATCTCAAAAAAATATTATTTAAGAAATAAAGAAAGCTAGAAGCTTACCAATTTCTTAGTAAAAAAAAGGGGGGCCTCGTATGGTGTGCTAGTGTTTAGGACTATTGAATTAAAGAGTTTTTTAATATAAATATTCATACACTTACATAACTATTAAATTTGGAAATGCTTGGTTTAAAGTAGTGATATTTCACCAATATGGTGATACAAACTGAGGGCTATTTTTTTTTTTTTTTGGTTCTCAGTTATTAAGTATTATCATTCCAAACTAAACAAACTGATGGTTATTTCTTGTTTCTTAGTTATGAAAAATGACTTTAGCACAATGAAAACAAACAATGACAGCTTTTTTTTTTTTGGTTCTCAGTTATTAAATATGATTATTGCACAATGAAAACAACTGTGAAGGCTATTTCTTGGTTCTTAGTTATGAAATATGATTACAGCACAATGAAAACAAACAATGACAGCTTTTTGTTTGGTTCTCAGTTATGAAATATGATTATAGCACAATGAAACGAACCAGTGACGGCTATTTCTTGGTTCTCAGTTATGAAATATGCTGATATATTCAAGTCGAAAAGTGAAAAGTTTATCCTTTCCTATTCATTCCCTTGATTAAAAAAATACATTTAAAGAATGTTACAAATTATTACATGTAGTAGAGACAGTAGAATCGCCGAGTAGTCGGTACGCAGTGTGTCAATAACTTACATTATCAATTAGAAAACATGGGTGGGATGAGCCAGAATATCTAGGGAAAAGATTTTCAAAATTAATAATTATATTAGAGTTTATACCACCAAGAAAGTTCTGTTCTACGGATCACATCATAAATATTTAAATAATACATATCATAAATAATCTGGAAGTTCCTCCCGCGTACAAAAATAGACCATATACTATAATTTAAATGACATCATAAGTACTTAAATAATAAACATCCCCATAAAAATCCACATAAACCAAAACAGACAATTATATCGATCACATCATGAATACTTCAATAATCAACACCTCTCAGATCATACCCCCCCCCCCCACACACACATATAAAACCACTAAGACACGCCACATCTAGTTTTCCAAATTCCACAGGCCTACACATATCTTTACACACACACACACACACGAGATCTCGGACTTAATCTATCTTCAGGTAATAATTATAGCGTTTTTACTTAAAGATTACCAACCACAATTCGCTTACAAAATGAATAATAAATGAACAGCACTATTGTGGTCGTTTAACTTCGATTGGAGTTTATTGATCTATTTTATATCTTCATTTTTTGTGTAATCCCCTTCATTGTTTGTTCTTGCGACGACTTCAGTGATTTCTGACAAATGACGTTGATTTGAAATTTGCATGTTCTTTTATACGAGTTTCAAGTCACTTCGTGGTAGACCACATATAACCTAAAGAGTATTTAGGATACATATGTATACTCATATACAACATTTTAAGTTTAGAATTTAGATATTCGATCTTTAAATCTGAAAATGTTGTAATCTACATTCGAGTTTAAAGATACATTTTATTTCAACTTGTGAGTAAGCCTGATTGTACAATTTACATACGTTCTTGTTCATATTGTTTGTTTTCCTGTATACGATAATTCTAGAGTAATTTTCTGTTTAGTAACATTCCAATTTGACTGTAAAGAATATCCATATCATTTATAAATTCATAAATAATGTTTTATTATAATATTAGAAATGTGTTTCAGTTATCTAATGGTTATTTTGTACATCGGTGAATTACTTTTCATTAAAATAACCTGTAAAGGTTTTATTATGAAGTACGATAAATAAAAATTGATGTTCAGCTGTAAATTTAACGCTAGTGTTAGAATAGTTCAAGAATCTGTCCACATGTTCAACGTAATGCCACATGTTCAGCGTGATAAAAGTCGCATATCTTATATAATACGTTGGTTTAAACAACAAATCACATTCATTAAGTCAGCGGTTTCCACAGTAACAAAGAAACAAAATAAGGGGCTAATCTTCATGTCATATCTACACAGTTTAGTTGATCATCTACTTCATCGTGCCTCATCCACTACATCATACATTATTTACTGTATCATATATTAACTACTACATCATACATTATCTACTACATCATACATTATGTACTGCATCATACATTATGTACTACATCATACATTATCTACTACATCATACAGTATCTACTACATCATACAGTATCTACTACATCATACATTATGTACAACATCATACAATATCTACTACATCATATATTATCTACTACATCATACATTATCTACTACATCATACGTTATCTACTACATCATACAGTATCTACTACATCATACATTATGTACTACATCATACAGTATCTACTACATCATACAGTATCTACTACATCATACAGTATCTACTACATCATACATTATGTACTACATCATACAGTATCTACTACATCATACAGTATCTACTACGTCATACGTTATCTACTACATCATACATTATCTACTCATCATACGTTATCTACTACATCATACATTATCTACTACATCATACATTATGTACTACACCATACATTATGTACTGCATCATACATTATGTACTACATCATACATTATCTACTACATCATACAGTATCTACTACATCATACATTATGTACTTCATCATACATTATGTACTTCGTCATACATTATCTACTACATCATACGTTATGTACTTCATCATACATTATCTACTACATCATACGTTATGTATTTCATCATACATTATCTACTACATCATACATTATGTACTTCGTCATGCATCATATAACTGATTATACAAATTATTGGCAAATTGAAAATGAGTTACCTTGGCGACAAAATCCACGAGTTTCTGAAATACATACTTTGGATTTATTATGTCATTAGCGTAAAAGTTCTGTGCATTAAATTATATTATCAACTAACGCAATTTAAGCAAAGAGAGAACGTATATCAAAACTATAAACAAAACTATCTTTGATAACATAATCAGTATTAGATAATGGTTCCAAAACGTATTTAAAAAATAACTATATGTACCAATATTAAACACAAACATCACAGTAAACTCCATCTATATAATACCAGAAGGAAAACCTCATGGACTTATTAAATAATATTCATCTCCTTCCATAAATGTATTTTCTTAATTTTATAAATTACTTTTTGAGCTTTCTTATTGTGGTTTTAGCTGATTCTATGTTCAAATTTACAAATTTAATTGCATTACTAAAATTTATTCGCCTTTGTTAATATAATCAATTCTATTTAAAATGATTTAAAATTTATTTACCTTTTTTAATTTAGTCAATTTTATTTAAAATGATTAAACTACTTCCCCTCTGTCTGGCTTTGTTATTACTGTTTTTAATTTTTATTTGAACCTTTTTATAGCTTGAAATTCATCTTTACTTACATTTCAAAGTTTTGTTTCTAGAGTTATAATTTTTAATCAATAGAAATTCTACTTAATTGAATTCTTGTGCCGTTAAATAAAAGATTTATTGCTCACCGTCAGATATTTTGGTTGACTTAATTGCTGGAACAACGGTTACAGCTAATGCATGTTTTTACATTTTCCTTAATTAGACAGTTTGAAAATCACGTTATGAGGATGATCAAAACAAATGTATATTTTTACTAAATGATTTTTTCTTCCTACATCTAAAAAGAGTTTCGTGCCTTTGTTAACTAGCTATATATAATCTAGTTTATTAACTTACTGCTTTAACAAGATACCCCTACTTGTTGTTTAAGTGCTTTATGAACCTTAATTTTTTATTGTTAAATTGTAAATTTTAGAAGAAATTTATTATATTGTTAATTTTAT